GGAATTATTTTAACTATATAAATATTTATGTATACATATAAAATCTTTTAGTTTGAATTTTGTATTATAATTTTAAAAAGCGCAACTGTTGACTATTACGAACTAATTGACTAAAACCACTTTTTGAGCTCGCATTTATGGACCTTATTAACTTTCTAAAATATATGTACATATGTATGTAACTATTCATATCAATATATTTAATGTTTTATATACATTTGGTATACTTATACAATCACTAAAAGTTTTTTTTTTATGAAAATTATTGTAATTTATCGATTATATCCACAGATTTGGTCGCAAAAAACACTAACTTTCGATTGAACGAGTAACGAAAATAGTTAGTTCGCAAAATATTTCATAAAAATTTTGATTGTTCAGTAGACAACTTACAAGCAAACAAAACAGAGCTCTTTGCAAGGCAATTTCTCAAAAAAAAAAAAAAAAAAAACAATTTGCCAGAACCTAGGAGTCTTCTTTTTACATTTTTCGGCAATACATTTATTTATTTTAATAAATAGTTACTGGCATTAGGGTGGTACGTTAGGGTAATAAGAACTGAGATCTGGTGGGTAAGTACTATAACGGGGTACTTGAGGTCAATGAATTTCCATCAAAAAGAATTACCTCCACGAGACAAGAAGATTGATATATCTACGGTGACCATCCGTCCTGTATTATACGGGACAGTCCTCTTTTTTGTCCCATTGTCCTGGTAATTAATTTATTTTATACGGGACGCCAAATGTTCTGTATTTCTTTTAATGTCCTGTATTTGTCCCGTATTCGGCGCTCCGAAGCCTTAACAGCTCATTAAAATGGCTTGCCTATGAACGAGATTTAAGTGATTTTGGTATATAATGGCAATTTTCTTTATAAACAGTTATTATTTCCTAATCTGAATGCCTGTGATTCGAATCGAAGAATACATACAGTGACCAAAATATAAATTGAGACTCGACATTTTAGTAAGTTGTGGCTATTTTTCTTTAGTTTATTTAATGTTTATTATTAATTATTTCATTAAAGTAAAGCTCTTTTCCTAAGAAAAACTATAAACTTAATTCTGCAATGTTTCATAAAAATTTCAAACTTTTTAATTAGAATCTTTAGAAAAAAAATTGGGTTGCAGTTTTGTAACTCATTAAAATTGAGTTAAATAAAGTGCGAATGGAAAGTGCTGCTCATTTGCTTCTCTTTCAAAAAAGAAGGCCGAACATACATAATTTGTCTGAAAATTGCCAACATTTACCGACTTAGAATTGCACTTTCTGATACTAAAATTTAACGAATTTTTTTTAACAAATTATATGGGGTAAAAATCCTGAGAAAATTATACTACAAATTTGTGATGTTACTATAAGGATACTCTTTCAGGGAAAACAGTGTGGACAAAATTTGCAAAATAATTTTTTGTCCCGTATTCGGCTTTCATAAATATGGTCACCGCAGATATATCGTACTTTAAGATCCTACTGTAAATGGCGATGATAGAAAAAACAAAATGTAAAAAGGCGACAGTTACGTTCGAACAAAAAAAAAACATGTAATTTTTATGCAAAAAACAAAACCGACTTCAATTCTCATATACAAATTTAGTAGTACCGTTAAACTCTTCATGATCAGATTATCGGATTAAAACCAAATTAGTGTGGGACCACCCTTGGGGTACCACCTTTCCGGAAAAAAAAATAATTATCGAAATCAGGCCACGTGGTCAAAAACTTATGCGGTAACACTTTAAAAAAAATTATTCCAACGAATTGTTAATTGTTTTTTTTTTTCGAAATCACCTTGCAAAAATACTTTGGGCGAAAAATAGTTGCACGGCGAACATTTTTTTCCGATACAATTTTTGAATCAATTAAGGTTTCGAACTATTGAGGGTTTTCAGGGCCTTTTTTTTAGCGTAATATCCCCTTAAACTGGTATATTGAACTATTAAAATTTGTTTGGAAGTGTTTTCGGGCTTAAAATTGTCCAAGCAGTCTACCCTGTATTACGAATCGAAAAGCAAATCATTCGGGCTCGAATACTTGGCACTCGTTCGTGTCGCTTTTTGAATCCCATTAAGTTCCGAATCGAAATACAGAGTATACCCCCCCGTTTTTCTTATATAAGGGAATCGCCCAAATATTTTAATTCCTCACAGCCACTATAGGCTTTGCAAGGTATACAGTAAATATGTACACATACATATTTATATATTTGGCTTGGGGAGGTTTTGAACTAAAGAGCAAAAGAACTAGCTCTTTTAAGTGAACTAGTTCATTAAAGCGAACTACAATTTTCTATGGCAACACTCCAATAAAAATGGAAATGTACATAATTTTAACATATTTCGCATCTTTCAGGTAATAATAAAAAAGATTAAATTTAAATGTTACTTGTTGTCGTAGTTGTTTTTTTTTTCAAATTTATGGCTTTTTATTATAAAATCACATAACGCGGTTTGCAAGTGGACTACTCATATATACATAAATATACATTCCGTTGCAAAGCTATAAATCTAGGAAAAAATCGTTGTAACAAATGTAAAAAAAACTAATTTATGCACATTCTTGCCTCTTCCATCACCAAATTTAAAAGAAGACGACGAAAACTATAAATGCTTTTTTGCAAAACCCCTCAATCCGAGGATAAACTTTAATGGTTAGTATGCCCCACACATTCTCGACTGGGTTAAGATCAGAAGAACACGCTGAAAAAGGGTTCGAATTTTGTTGCTCTCTAAACCACGCCGTCGGTCCGAGCAACACCTAATATTAGAAAATGTTTATTCTAACAGCAGTCGCCCTTCGCCTGGCAATGGCAAACCGCCGAGTGTATTTCTGCTTTGAAAACGCGTATCATAAAACTATTTGCCATTCGGAGGCGGCTTAAAATTGTGTGTCCCTCCAATTGTGTAACAACATAAAGACGCACACCACAACTTGAATGAGAAGTTCGGTCAAACACTTAGCAAAAGTATAAGCGCCAAATATTTATTTATTTTAACCAACAATTTGTCTTCTTCATCGTATATGTAAATCGCAGCTAAACTATTCCGCCCTTCACATTAAGCCATTTTTGAACTGAAGCTTTGATAACTTAAACCTTCATTTCGGCTGATCCATCTGCGATGTCATTTGGCACCCTGTGGCACCCTACTAGGAAGTGTTTGCAGGGCATTGTGTTATGCTCCTTAATGGCGAGTATCTGCGCCTCGTCGTGCAGGTGGTGTTGGGGCGACATCAGAAGGCATCCAGTCGCGCTCCGTAGTACCGTGTTCTTGCTAGTCTGCAGCTTTGTCCATTGTGTCCTACTAGTCCCCGGCGACCACACGGGCACTGCATAAGTTAGAACTGGCCGGCCAATTGCCTTGTATGTTGCTAACAACGTTTTTTTGTCTTTGTCCCAAGTGCTGCCGGCCAGCGACTTGAGGACCTTGTTGCGGGCTCTGTACTCTGTTGACAATTGCGGTTGTATGGTCCGAGCAGGAGAGCAGACTGTCTAAGGTAACTCCGAGGAGTTTTGGGTTATTCACCGTCGGAATTGGTTCGCCATCGACGTGAATGCCCAGCTGCATTCTGACCTCCTTCGTCCAGGTGGTGATTAAGGTTGCCGAGGAATTTGTAGGCGAAAAAAGCCCTCAAATAAGGTGCTGACAGCACCTCAAAACAAAATAATCAAATGTGGAATATTCGAGAAAAAGATATGTACATACATATGTATGTATATGTGACCAGCGGTAAAACCGAAGCTTAAAAACTGAACGTCTGGATGGGTGGAATAGGCATTGAATATTTGGTCTCGGGGTGAAGTGCGGATATGTCGGTAGAAGTTCTATAAGTCTATTAAAGTATCCAGACGCAATGAAACAACAAAAACTAAAGAATTTCGTTATGGAAACAAATGAAGTTCTTCTGTTGCTATATTAAAGTGCACACATATTAATTTTTCTTTAATATCTATAATGTGCAGACATCGGTCTGTTACAATTTTATTATGTGTATAGATAGAGTAGATGCCACGCCCATTTTTCCGATAACCTCCGGTTTTTTACTTGAGCATGGAACTGATTTTATAAACATCCGCACCGCATCCAATACTCCAGCGGAAATACATGTGCGGTATCAAATTTCTAGTTGTGTGGGAGATAACACGCCCACTTTTACAATAACCTCTAGTTTCTTACTTGAGCATGGGGTGGGTGTCATTTATATCCGAACCAAATTCCAGTACTCTATAGCAATTAGTTTCGTAGATATGCGGTGTCAAAAATGCAGTATGTATGTATAGGTGGTACCACGCCCACTTTTACAATAAGACTTTTTCCTGCAGGAAAATTGCGCCTATATTTTAAGTTAGATTTCGTTTTTAGAAGCTTTCAATATTTGGAAATTCGTACATAGTTTGAAAAAAATTCACCCAATCAATGAATATTTTCAACGAAACTTCTTTTCAATTATCTAACTATATATGTATTTATAATAATAATTATGTAAAGGATCGCACTATGGGACTACAGTGGCCAAAAGTGGTAAAAACGGATTAGCGAATTCTGGAAAAGTAATTACGCAGATGCATAGCAAAATATCCAGCTAACCCAAACCAAAAAGAATTTTGGATAAAAATGCATATTTGCAACCAAGACACGAGCTTAAAGTAGGAGCAATGCGAGAAAATAAATTTGTAAGAAAAAATTTTGATTTTGTCGCAATAAATTTGAAATAATTTTTCCACTTGTGCGGATATATAAAAAACCAATCTGATTCATGAGCAGTTTTTGAATATATCTGTGGTCAAACATTGCTTTAAATTGTTATAAATCTTTTGAAATGTATGAAATAGTTTACTTTGAAATTCTACATAATTTTGTGAGTGTAAAAATTTTCGAGTGCTTATTTTAAAAAGGGGAAATTTAGGACAAGTTAACATTAAATATGCGTGTCATATCTCAAATAGTTCCAGCTGCGAGTTCAGCTTCTATTTTTCCTTTTATTGAATTTTTATTGTAGAACTGAAAGGAAAGACTCTGATATGTACATAAAATGAATAATATGCAATATAAGGTGGAAAGTAAAGAAGCTGTAGATATTGATGACTCGCCAATATATTAACCACAATCAACATTCAGCCAAAAATGGAAGCTTCTCTGCACGAGATCCGTTTTCGATGGCAAGAGTCCTGCTTGCCTTAGCTCAGCTTTTGTTGTATAAAATGTAGGTAAAATTTTAAGCTTCAGTGTAAATACATATCGTGCACATAATTTAGTATGCAGGTGTTGTAAATGTTTTCGTTTTGTCATTTTTAAAATGAAGAAATAGGAACTTTTCTAGAAATAAAATAAATGTGCTGCTCATTTTCTCCAAAGTTCATGAAATTTAGTACTTGGAGCTAAAAAAGTTGTGTAGGAGGTGGGCGCCGTAATAAGAAACTCTTGATTATCTTCCAAGTTGGAAAATTTTGGCTTAAAGGAGCAGGGCACACCGTATTTCATCAAAAAATGTTGTTTTTTTATTACCGCCTGTTTTTCAAGAATTACTGGACGATAATGTAAACCGGTATTGACGATCTTTCAGATTTAAGATTTTCTTTTTAAAACCAGCATATGCTCTGAATTTCATCAAAATCGGACAACATTTACTATTTCCGCCCACAAGAGCTGTGGGCGTGGTAGCGCGTTGAATTTTACCATTTTCCACATTTCTTCATTCCTAAGTTCCGAACAGCGCATATACGAAATTTTAGCGAATTTCTAGTACGGTTACTACTTTTGGCCGCAGCTTATATGGGGACGTCCCACTGTGGGTCGTCTCAAGCTTCCCTAGTGACTGTGTGTTTGTGTGCATAAATAAATACATAATTACAAATACATACGTACATACATTTATACATACATATGAACAAAGAAAAAAATATTAAAGCAATATCAACTTAAGAATCGTGCGCCGACCGAATTTTTTTCGAAGCGGTGCACAAATTACATACTTAATTGTTCTAAAATAGGGAAGCATTTCAAAATAGAATTAGAATACTCGATCAAAAACCTGTTGAGGTTGTAAATCACAAATAAAAAATGCATACAAATAATAAAAATTTAGTTGAAGTAATATACATACATACATACACAGTACATATGTGAATAGAGCGCTTTTTTTTAATAAAAAAATGGCAAAGTGGACAACAAAGCTATGTGCAAAGTAAATAGAAGGCGTTCAAAAAAAATACCTATATATATGTGTGTATATAAACATATTGGCTAACGAGGAGTAATGTGAAAATTTAAAATACAGATGGTGAAGAGGAAATAGAGTGGATATATTTATGGCCACATAATTAGAGACACTACTTCTTATAAGTTTTGACCATTTATATTTTCTTTATTTATTTCTTTATTAATTTTTTACAAAAATTTAGTTTATAATGCAACGAAAACTATGTAACTCAAAGTCGCAAACCTTTTAGAAGATTTATAAATAAAATTGGCAATTTTCAAAAAATGGTCATCTAAATTTCAAACCTTTTAATCAGAATTTCAAAAAAAAATTCCTATATGCAGTTTAATACTCCACTCAATTTTAGTACAACATTGTTCAAGTCTCAAGCGTTGATTTTCAAGATTTTTTTGGTGGACGGTGTTACGCACCTTCTTCCATACAAAGTATGTTCGAAAACTTGTTTATATGGGAGAAATTAAGCACAGCGGCCGCAACAATTATTCTGAAAAATTAACGCGAATTCTCAGCCGCTTGAAACTAGCACAATATTGTACTAAAGTTACTATAAAACTGCATACCCGAATTTTTTCTAGAAATTTTTATTTTAAATTTGACAATTTTTTATGAATCTTGTGCAAAGATTTGAAATTTGGTTTTCGTTGCAGAAAAGCTAAAATGTACTTTTGTAAAAAAAAAAAAAAAACACATTTATTGGAAATACATAAAGAGAAAATGTGCGTCTAATTATGTGGTCGCCACTGTACACACTCCTAGTTTTTGATTACAGCACATACATAAATACATATATTAATTTATATAGGAAAAACAATTTATTTTTATATGTACCACAAAATAAAAACCAACAAAAAAAATTACTTCAAAAAGCTATAAATGAAGATAACGGAAGTATATACATACATACATACATATGTACATGCATTGCATGTAAGAGGAATACATATACATATGTATGCATGCATAAATAAAACTATAGCTGCAGAAATAATTCAATACATAACATTTACACAATAATATACATAACTACTTTTAAATATGTATATGAAACCCCTTAATAATAAAACACCTAAAAACATGATATGTATGTTTTAGCTACTAAAAATTATAGTAAACAGAAGTATAATAAAAAATAAAGATAATTTAAGAAATAATTATAAAAAGAACTGCATTGAAATTTTTATTCAACCAAGCCCCACCCCCCTCACAACTGGCATGTAGTACATATTTTTTTTTTGTAATGTAAATACATAGAAATCTCATAATTTTGCGTTTTTATTAAAAAAGAAAATGTCCTTATTTGTTTTGTATATGTTTTTTTTTTTTGTTTTTTTTCAGACGAATGAAGAAATATTGATGATGATGATGATGATGAGGCATGAATGGAATTGATGTATGGATGTTGCGTAAATGGATAATTAATTATGAAGATGGTCGAGTGAAGTAATTTGAATGTCTGAAATGAGAAAACTAACAAGCGACAACGAAACAGCCGAAATAACGCATTAATTTCTAAAAAAAAACAAGAACATTATCTAACACTTAAACACTCCCCACACAAATAGTATATATGTATGTATTATGTTACACATCTCTACATATAGACTTCTCACAGCCAATGAAAATACTCGAACAAATGCTTAAAAAATGTTATTTTACTACATACAATATACATAGTAGACACTTTATTCTACTAATTGGTGTTTCTTTCCAATAATATTTCCTAAGTTAATTAAAACCATTCTTCTACCACACAAAATAACATAAATGCCTTAATTACTTATTATATATTGTATTTAGTATTTGCTTTGAGATAATGTAACCAATACATTCATTATTTGATTATTTTGAAATATCCCTAAAATGAATTTGGATTTAAATCGTATGAAACCTAATTTTATCATCTGTTTTGCGCTTGCACATTCGGTTTAATTATTTAACTTTTGTCTTTAACTTAAAAGCAGCACTTAGTTTTAATTTACATTTAAAATTGTACAAAGATCCTACGGGCAAACTTAAAACCAACAACAAACACAATAATAAATAAAACTGGCACATTTCCGTTTCAACTCATTCTATTTCATATACATTACGTTTAAGTTCTCTGTTGCTTTTGCCATTTGCTTTGCAAAAAAAAAGAAACTTATACCAATTGTAAAAACGATATTTTTTGCATATAGGCAGTATATTGCACTGCGTGGCCACAGAGGCAATGGGCCACAATACTGCTGAACACACCTTCAAAGCAAAACGAAGAAAATTTCAGGGCGTTGCTTTGGTCCAGAATCGATTCGGCAGAAAATGTATGGAAACCGCATTTAAAGAAAGCGTTTTCGACACCAATAAACATAGTCAAAATCAACTCATTAGGTGCTGTAGGCGTGAAATTTTCGACAAAATTTTGGAAAAAGTGTCTCGAGCTCTTTTCTTTGATGAAACTTTAGATCTCGTTATCAGAAAAAGCTGAGGTAATGTCTGACTTATGCATGAAACTTTGCCAATTTCCCATAAGGGGCAAACTTGAAGTACGCTTTTAAAAATATATTTTCCACTATAACCAAAATCAAAGCAAAGATTTGTAATCGGAGTAGTGACTCAGTTCATTAGATTCATGACTCAGTTGCCAGGCAAATAAAGCGTACTACAATTTGGTGGGACCCCATTTCGATCCTCGGTCCGAGCGATTGCAAAATTTTATTTTTTAGTTTTTTTTTTGAGTTTTATTTAATGTATATTTTTTATTTTACTTTCTTTTTTATTTTATTTCATATTATATATTATTTGGTGGGACTCAATTTCGATCCTCGGTCCGAGCGATTGCAAAATTTTATTTTTAATTTTTTTTAGTTTTATTTAATTTATATTTTTTATTTTACTTTCTTTTTTATTATATTTCATATTATTATTTAAATTTTTATTTTCCTTTTTATTTTATTTCACATTATTTATTATATTATTAGTTAAATAAAACTTAAATTAAACTCTAAAAATTAAAGAATTAATTAAAATGCTACTGAGCATGGGACTCAAACCCACGACTGTCAGGATACAATTTTAATCGGATTAACGTGGCCTGTCTATGCTTTCTGATGCAAGTAGTGAAGTTCTGAATACCCATAAAACGGTAATGCCTTCAGAGTAGTAATAAATAACACAAATCATTTATATTATAGTGATGTACAAACAATTTTCTTTAAAAATACGCATACTTTTTAAAAATATTTGTTTCAACACATTTTGCAATAGGTATTAAATTTATTATAACTCATATTGATTAATCACACAATCCGCTTTTAAGAGCTCGACGCTAAAAATTAAATAAAAACCTATAATAAGGCGAGATCAGCTATTTCCACAATTTCTTCGATGATATTTCCACAATGTCTGAATTATTTACATTTCCGTTGTTGTCATATATTGAGGTATTCAACCTTGATAACATACTATTTGATATTGGAAACGTTTTGCAGCAGAAACTATTGGCCTTCATATAACACTTTATTCGAACTATTGAATTAAGGCTTTCCAACCTCATCTTACTTCGAATCTTAGTTTTTGTTGAATTCATTACGGAAAAAACGCGCCCAACAAAGCATGTGAGGCCGGACAAATATAATAATATGAATTTACTTACCTATATTTTTTTAAACATTTTATTGACTGTTGCGGTTTTCAGTCCGTAGGCAATTATCCAAAATTCTTCAGAGTCGGATGGAATTGTTCTGAGAAAAGTGAATCCATGGAAAAATTAAAAGATTTAAATATTTAGTTTCCGCTGCTTTTCTTTCCTTCAAAGTCAAATAGTGAATTGGCAGGTCCCTGAAACTCGCCTTCTTGTGATTCACACACTTTTCTGGTGACAAAATCAAAGCTTTTTTGAAAGTATTTAATTGACTGGGTAATCGTTTCAAAAGTTCTTCGATTAGGGTGATTAAAAATTTTTGACGGTTTTTTAACCCTTAATTAGTCGCATGGGGTCCCCAGTGACCCCAATAAAAGTGTTGAAAAAAGAGTTTTCAAAGTAAAAAAACGAAGTGTGTATTAACAAAAATATTAAAGCACACCATTATCGTTAACTTGAAAAAAGAAAAATATTATTTCGACTTCAAACTTAAAAAAAAAGTTAAAACTTACTTCCGCCAAGAATGTTACGTTAGTAGGCGCATGGGTTCAGCACTCAAGCGAGTAGCGACACATGTGTACACGACGATATTCTAACCGTGACTAAATAAATAAAACGAAATTTATATTGTCATAAATATTAAAGCTCTTTATTAAAGTTAACTTTAAGAAAGAAAGGTATAACTTTGACTTCAAACTTAGATACAAAAGTAAAAACTTACCTCCGTCAAACAAAACGTTACATATGTATGTGCTCGCAAATGTGTGCACGTCGATGCTCTGGCCGCGACTTATTTACGTACCCCGCGGTGAAAAACCTCTGGATTTTTTACAAAAAAAAAATATATTTTTTACACACGTTTTATATATTTTGAGAGAAAGACGATCCCATTGTTTAAAAAGTTTAGACCCCTAAATTAAAAAAAAACAAGTAAGAAAGTCTAAGTTCGGGCGGAGCCGAACATTAAATACCCGGCGCAAGTATTAAATATATGTTTTTTCACCTTTCCAAAACCTTCCGCTAGATGGTAAGCCGGGGTGTATCAATTTTGAGTAAATTAGCGTCCTTAAATTTCAAAATATTGAAGTTTCAAGCATTTCTGAAATTTACCGTTATATGAGAAGCGGCCGTTATTTAGCCCGATTTCAATAATTTTCAACGTTTTG